CCCAAGATATGCTTACAAGTATGTCTAAAATGGCACAGTTTTAAAGGTACCCACCCTCTTAATCTCAAAAGTTATGACCTAGAGATAAATCCCCCAAATTTGCAAAAAATGTAGTGGGGAGATTTAGTTTACGAGTAAAAGCCCCACCCCCCCAACACACACACATACACACCTGCTATATGGAAAAGAAAATCATTGGGTTTTCCTGTAATAACACTGTACAAAGGCAGGATTTTTGTTTAATCATGCATTTTATGGTGCATTATGAAGGGAAGGTTCGTCAATTGGCAATCATTTTCAAGTCGTAGTACGCAGGCGCATGTGGCTTTTAAAACCTATTGCTTTGTATTGGTTATTTAATACATCGATTTCTGCCATTTGTAGAGGTCGCCACTGTGTAATTTAAATATAAACATCAAGCTGAGATTAATGATTTCAGATAATGGGCTTAATATCGTTTAAATGTTGTAATGGAAAATGAAATTACTGATGGCAGTTAGAGATATCATAATTACCTGTATCTCGGTAAAAAAGTTTTGCTTAAAAGTTAGTTTGATTTTTGTCGTCATATCTTCCCATTTAATCGTAGAATAGATGTTGCAAGAGACAACCCATTACGCTAACAATTAGACAAAGTCCGAGTTTCTTTAGAAAAGTTAGACACAGAAAGTGTTCCTAATTGCCAAAGTTGACGTAATTAAACATTTCACTGTCGTGTAGATCTTTAAGGGATGGATTCTACCTCCTAATAAGTGGGCGATGTTATCGCGGAGGTAGAATTGTAAATCAAGTGAGCAGATTGTTAATCTGATTTACACATGGTTCACGAGGAAATGATGGTAATGTCGTTCTCAGCTATCTAAAAACAAAACACTAACCTTTACTAAGAAACGCTCTATTTTCTGGGTGTTTGTAAATGTTAGTGAATATTAGAATCCGAGAGAAAAACAACAACAAAAAAGACATTATTTTTATCACACAAAACTTATTCCGGACACGGGATTTTAGTTTTCAATTATGTCAGTTCTCATAAATTCTGCAAAATCATTTATTAGGAATGTCATCCAGTGACATTGGAGAGTTCTGTTAGAGAGTTAATCCTAGGAATTGGAAGGTCTGGCATGGTTTAATTTATAGCGTGCA